GTTTTACTATAAAAATGTACAGGGTTTAGCAGAAATACCTCTGACATATATCTCTCAGAAATACCTCCCACATAATGGTCAGGCAGTCAGAGGTATTTCGTGAAGGTAATATGTGGAATGTATTTATACCGCACCCTGTTTATTTATAATTATGGAACAAAATGATGTTTTTTTCAATAATATATGCCTATTTTATGGAATGCACGTTTTGTATCGGGAAATCTTGAAAAATGGAGTGAATGACATTTTGACATATGGGGAAAAATGGAGAATTGAGCAAAAAATGTTGAGAATCATTGTTCTAGAAGTTGATGATTTAACTTATTAAAAATAAAATATACATCGAAGGTATTTTAAGTTATGTTTGAATGAATTCTCCTTTGTATTTATTGCCACATCTGTGAATATCCCATGAATAACGGCTTCTGCTGTCCTGAAAACTTTTCTCCTTAATCAATACAAACGATTTTATAAATAGTCAAATAAAATTACTGAAATATATATATATATATATATATATATATATATATATATATATATATATATTATATATATATATATATATATATATATATATATATATATATATATATATATATATTTTCAGTCATTTATATATAGTAAGTTTACACTATACACACATACACACACATTCTCTCTCTCTCTCTCTCTCTCTCTCTCTATATATATATATATATATATATATATATATATATATATTTTCCGACTTAGACATGAGTTTTTTGTTTAATGTGAAAATTCCTCTTGCACTAAGCAGAATTTCTTCTTACAAAAGAACTATTGAATTCTTGAGATATTTCGAAAATCAGATGTTTGAATTTCATCTGCTTCCCGAGCCGAAATTCATTACTTCATCCTTTTTTTTTACCTATAGACATTTGTTTTCGTGAACTCAAGGAATATTCCTCTAAGTAAAATGGGTACAATCAAAAATTTCCGAATTAATATACAATGTTGTAAAATATAAATATTTACATCGCAAATATATCAGTGGATTCAGTGCCAAGTATGTACAATTTGGCATATGTTCCACTTCGCAAAGATTTTATTTCAATTTCGCGAGAATTCATCACGAGGCATATATTCTGGGGTCGATGTAAAATAATCTCCAAATAAAAATATATTAGCAATACTTTCATGCAGCATTTAAACCTAAATCTATAAATTATCACGCAATATAGTAAAAAAAAAAACAAAAAAAAACATTATACGTTTTCTACAGAAATTAATTTTAGATGGGCTAGAATTTGTTTATAACACGCTGACACGTATTGAAATCTTCAGAGTATTTAGTATTCTTAAATTATCACTAACATTTATTGTCGAGATTTACAAACTCTCCGTTTTGTTCAATTTCACAAACCAGTCGATGAAATTTGAATAAGTAGATTTATTCGGAAAAATACTTTGACAAAAAAACCTACTTCGCGGTTTAATAATATTTAATTTTATTTTATTGGCCTTCATGGTAAACAATTTTTTAAAGAAAGTTTCTTTTATTTGTTTTTCCTTTTTAACAGCGAACAATAAATTCTTAGGATTTCTTATTCTCGAGCATGCAACATACCTGAGTAAATAATTTTCCTGAGCCAAATTCCAACTTTTTGAAGCGTTTCACCTTGTGATTTATTTATAGTTCTCGCAAAGGCAGGCCAAACTGGAAACTGGATTCTTGTATATAAAAAGTCAAAGAAAGGATATGCAAAAAATATTGCATTTTTTTTTAAATAGCGGAAGTATTTTGTATGTTAAATAAAAATATATTTCTTCCAAAAAAAATGGATGAAAATTTATTTTACTAAGCTACGTACCTACTAAAACAACTGTACTTTCTAGCCGCTTACCTGTTTGCACTTCTCACTGAAATTTGCTTTCGAACGGTCGATGAATAGATATTTTAGAGGATATGAAGGATGGACGGAGTAACGTAAGTCACAGAACATTATTTACATTATTCGGACTATTGTCCTTATCTTTGTCACCATATTTATTACAACGTTTCGGCCGTTGTATGCTCCGGCCTTCTTCAGGTGTCCTTGAGGACACCTGTGTATGAATTTCTGGGTGTTATAAAACTAATGTCTTCAGCAACAATTTTTACAAGTGCTCATATTGCAATTTTTGCTGTTACCTTTTCATGTTTTTACTAGAGCTCATATTGCAATTTTTATTGTTATTATCGCTTTTCTCTGAAACTCTTTATTACTGGTTCCCATATTGTATTTATTTCTATGCTTGGTCGGCTCAGAAGATTTTTGTGGCCTCGCATATGTGCTGATTCCCTAAGTTTACAAATTGTCCAATGGTGTTCTTTGTCTATGATCTCAACCTGATCCCACAGAGGGCGGTGATCTTCCTTCTCTCTCCATATGTGGTCTGACACGCCTGATTTTTCTACCTCCCCTCGTGTTACAGCTTTTTGGTATTCTTGAAGCCTTACCTTAAGGACGCGGCCTGTCTCCCCTTTATATTTCTTTCCGCAACTGCACGGGATAGCGTACACACTTTAGTCATGTTCTCCTCTATGAGGCGAGGGTCTTACTCGGTAGAGATATCTGCGAAGTTTCATCAAGCTTATGAAGGTTGTCCTGCTGTTATATGGACCGCAGATCCTTTGTATTTTCTCTAATAACCCCTTCACATAAGGCAGGCAGACTGTTTTCCGACTGTTGTTGTCCTCCTCTTGTACCCGCCTATCCCAGTTTTGAGGGGCTGCTACCATGTACCCAGGGTAATTGTTACGTTTTAGGGTACTCCTTATACTGACCAATTCTTTATCTAATGTCTCTGTGTCGGCACTTACGACGTTTGCTTGGTGTTGTAAGCAGCGGACGACCCCTTTCATTACGCTGTATGGATGGTGGGAGTTGAAATTGATGTACTGTCCGGGGAATGTCGGTTTACGGTATACGGATTTCTTGAACCCAGCGGAAGCCCCAACAGGAAGTCCGAATCAGATTTTAGTATCTCTTGAAAACTGGGTTCCCACTGAGTTTCGGGGACCGGAAAAGCTTGCATGGTGGTCAAATGCGATTTGCATATTAAAATTCGTGGGCGGTGCCTAAAATGGTTTAGCTCCGCCTCTATCTATCTAAGCTGCCCGCACGCTTGAGTTAGTCAGAACGGAGAACGGAACGCGGAAGAGACGGCTAGTTGGAATTTGCTGGTCTGGTCTGTTGGTTGTCCTGCGTCACATAGACCGATCCGAACCAAGAGATAGAAATAGAACCCGTACGAATCTAGATAACTTCGTCGACAAAGCTGTGAGAAAGCAGACTGCTATATCGTAGGGTGCAGACGAAGATCCACGAATTACTTCCCTTAGATCAGACAAAATTGTTTAGGCAGAAATTTTCCTACTCTCTCTCTCTTCCGACCCCAAACGAGTGAACCTCGTTACGACATTTTGTACTCGTCTAAATTTTTCGGTAGTGACATAAAAACAGTGGCCTAAAAAGGGCTCTTTGTACAAGAACCGAAAGAGTTGGTTATTCTTTTTTTTATGTCTTTACGGCTACGACAAGAAACTTTTTCTTTTTTTTTTGCATGAATAGTGAGTTCCTTTCAGCGTAATACACATCCATTTAATTCATCCTACCTCCGGATCGTTCTGAGGGATCGAAATACTGCTGTTCGGGTCAAAAATCCACAACGTGGCGGATAGTGGTGGTTTCTTCAGTTCACCGGGGGAGGACCGGGTGGTTTACTTCTCGGCCAGAACCGCCGGAGAGACAGGACGGAACTGCAACAGGCAGGGTTTATTACGTTAGATATGTATACCAAAAGAAAAATTAAAAGAGCTGAATTCTAATTCTAGTCGGGATTCGTTATATAGACTTAAGTGCAAATACCTTTGGAAAGGTATGAAAACAGTTCTACTCCTCCAGCTATGTGTTAAATAGTAGGACGTGTCAGCAGATGATTATTATCTAAAAAAAAAAATAATAATACCATCCAAAATATTTTCTGATGGTAAATAAACTCATGGCTGATAAGCCGTAAAAACAAATTAATGAATCTGAACATTAATATGCTTTCATGAATATTGCATACCCGAGATATTAATTCTAAAGGATTTTATTCTCAGACAGAACTATAATAAGTAGCGAAAAAGTTTATTTATTCTTTAATCTTAACCATAAATCCTGTCTGCTTGTGGTCACCGAATCGAAAAATGTTTCCATAAATTGATTTTATTCAAGACTTTATAGTTATAAAACCGAGACTAGATCATTAGATATGCTAGAGTTACTTTGTGATTACGCAGTCTTTATCCAACCGGCTAGGACAGAGTGGGAGTTTCCCGATTAGAAATTCTGATGTGTTGCTCGATTAGCGAAATTCTTGTAGCAGATTGTATTTTGAACTTTCAAGACAAATTATTATTATAATCTTTTCCAATTTTACATTGTGTTCACGAAAGTAATGATCCAAAGAAATGATTAAAATAATATGAAATTTTAATATCTAATTTAAGCGAACGTATTTTTATAGGTAATGTGTTTATTTTTGTTTAATGCTTCCGTTACTCTGGGCGAATTTATACGTCTTTACAAAACTGGCATGACCTGCTCTCAACGTTGACAAAACACCTCCAAATATTTTTCCCCAGACTTTGTACTCTGAGTTTACTAGCACTATTTCCAAACCAGCATAGATATATAGCGATTTTCTAAGCCCGGCTTAGATGTGGCATAAGGCCAAAAGTATGGGGGTACCCAGTGAAGATCGAACTCCCTACTCAGTCGTAATTGATCTAGCAAAACAAGTTTCCTAACCATTACACCACGTCGAGGTGCCCAAAGTGATTTTCCAAGCGTAGCTTAGATGTGGCACACGGCCGAAAGTATGGGGCACCCAGTGAGGATCGAACTAACTACTCAGTCGTAATAGTTCTAGCGAGACAATCTTGCTAACCATTACACCATCTTGAGGTGTCCCCCAGCATAGATATATAATTGCAATATACAATACGTGGTTTACGGCCATATCACGTTGAAACATCAGTTCCCGTACGATCACGAAGTTAAGCAATGTTGAACTTGATCAGGAACTAGATGAGTGACCGCTTGGTAATACCAGGTACTGCAAGCTTGGATGTGCGGGTGGTGTAATAGATAATGGCATAGGAGTTTTTAATCGGAGAGTCGAGTTCCAATCTTCGGTGGTTTAGTTGTTTTAACTGATGCAAAAAATACTACTATTAAAGGTATGGATACTCCTCTTATCCCCCACCGCTATGGGTTAATTAGTAAGACTTCTATCACTAAAACGATTATTATCACTAAAAAACTACAAACTACAATTCTGTACAAACTATTTAAATTTCAGCATCAAATAACCCATAAAAAAAACAAGCAACCAACCAACGTACAATACGATCGTTTTTATGACGCTTTTTACATTGTAATTTATCATTTATTTAGATTATAATTGATGTTTACTGCGAGGTATTCAATCATAGAAATTACTACGAGTCACTGCTTTCGTTATCGCCAGCCCCGGACGCGAGTCATGGACAGTGACCAAGAGAGAAATACACCGGACTGATACTTTCAAAATGTGGCCATATTGCATAGTCTTCAGAGTGCCATTGATAGCGAGACGCACCAATAAATGTGGTTGGTAGATACTATTAGAACAAGACACGTATTGAAAGAGCAGATATGGTGATATGGAAGCTCCGTTACTTCGGACATATTACGCAAATAGGCTGCTTCGATAAGGATATTCTTCTGGGTTCAGTGGACGGCTAGTGACGATCACCCATATTTTGGTTTGATTATATTAAGAGGTGGACGAGAGGCAGCATCAAACAAAGAGAGAGATGAAGGAGAGTTGTAACAAACTTGGGTTATGACTTTTTAAGTTTTGTAAAACAATTTATTTCCTGTGTCATAATTCGATGGACTTTTGTTAAAGATAATGAAGAAGGGTTTAATTCAGTTTATTTTTGGAAAATTATCACCCCAACACGAAATTTCTAAAATCGTATATAAGTATCTATATCTATAATTCTCAAAATGTGTGTATGATCATTCGATTTCGCTGATTTTTTTGTTTGATAGATTCAGTGCTGCTTTTGAGTCAAAATTGTTAGCGACAATGGCTCTCCACTACATCCTGTCAATTAACCTAAGTTTGTTACAACTCTCCTTCATCTCTCTCTTTGTTTGATGCTGCCTCTCGTCCACCTCTTAATATAATCAAACCAAAATATGGGCGATCGTCCCTGGTGTCACTAGCCGTCCACTGGGCCCAGAAGAATGTCCTTATCGAAGCAGCCTATTAGCGTAATATGTCTCTCAGCAACGTTTGAATATTTACTATCTGTTCGTGCATATATATATTTCCTAAAAACTTTAATAAAAATAAATAGTTTAAATTGTTACAATAATATTTTTTATTATTATACAATTAAATTTATATTATTAAATATCTATATCTATAATGTTCAAAATATGTATGTGTGTTCATGTGTGTATGTGTGTGTGATCAGATATTGTTTATGCGTTTCCTCAGTTTTCATCTGATTTCGATCATTTTTTTCTTTAATAGATAATTCTTCAATGCCGCTTTTGAGTTCAAATTGACTGGAAAAAATTAACACTTGAAGGTGAAAAATCGAAAAAACTTATTTTTTTAAACTTTGCAAAAAAATCAAAGGCCAACTTTTTCACTCATAACCTTCCAATCCTGGCTCATGCTGTGTGGACTTTATTCACACCACCACTCTTTGCCCATCGGTTGCTGCTGAACTTGATAATTAACTGGTGCAGCAACGCGTGTATGTGTGACCCAGAAAGCACGCGGTATGTCATGCGATGTTTCACGCGATGTGTCACGCGCTGATGCAGGCGCATAAGCATGACCAGTGGAACGCGACACCTGTTCGAGTTGCCCATTGGCTGCACGACGCCTCTTTACACGTCCAATCAAATGTCGCCGTGTCATACTGATTATCTATGCGGTTCTAATCTCATTGCTCCCGCTTAATTCTGCAATTCCGCTTCTACTTCAGCCCTGATTACACATTCCCCTTCTCTTGGCACTCATTTTTTGGAATAGCGAAGGATTCATTCGCAGTCTTGAAATCTTTCCTTTCGTATCGGATTTGATATTTGTATAGACGAAAGTAGCGAGGAATGGGATCTGGGAAATAGAGTGATTGCCGAAACTGTGAATGGACGTCTTGTCTCAAAACTGTTTCATAAGTTGCACCGAATGGACATGTGAATTGCCATTGTGGTGTTGCCACTCACTGGACTCATGAAATTCTGTCCTTTTTCCACAAAAGTCCCAACAAGCCATGGTAGTACTCATTGTTTGCTGTGTACCCAGGTGGAACATACGCTTGATGAACAATGCCTTGTAGTCAAGAAAACTGTCAAAAGGATCTTCGCAATATCTTTAAATCATTCATGCTTTCTTCGGAGAAGTTGGGGTCTTTAACTGCGAAGATTGAACATTGGTTTTGCGATCATGGCCATAGATCCAAGATACGACACCTGTTATGCCTGTTTCTAAAAAGATGTCTGTTGTATAGTGAGACGACCACACTCTTCACACTTTCCTTCCAATCACTGCGATAAACAACGGAAATGCGAGAAAACGTTAAAGCTTAGTGTGCATGCACAACAGAGTTCAAGGTTAATATGTTTCAAGTGGATTCATTCTGCATATTTTAGCTCCGTTACCACAGTAACAGTCCCGATAATTTTTAGTCAAACCCTGCATGTGCCAATTATTTTAAAATTTCAGAATTGTTCATAAATATAATATGACTCTTTATGGACATATGTTCATAACAGAGATTATCAACAGGAATTTATTTACAGACTTATTCAGAAATCAGAATATATGTAAAAATTTCTGAAATTATAACCTTCAATTAAAAACTTCAATTTGGCCGTATAGTTCATCAGGTTTGTATAGTTTCGAAAAGTTGAAAAATTTTAGTCTTTATTAAGAAACCCTTAAAACGTTCGATGTTTCATTCACACATATACTGGAAAGGTCGTAAGCATTACATTGTATTTTATATTATTAGCCCCTTCTAATTTCTCATATATTTTCGAGCCCTAATGTAAAAACTCATTGAAATATTTACACTGTTAATGTGCAGCATATTTCCCTGAAAGATGATTAAGTGTTACTCTAGAAGCATTTCGATATTTACCTTAATGCCGTTTGGCAATATAAACCTTCCTCTTCAGCATAATCAGTGAGTTTTCAATCGGGTTATGGTCTGGCTTACAAGATGGACACGAGGATATCACAAGATTTTTCGATAAAAATGAGTATTTGTCAATAGGTCTTCTGTTACCCATTTCATTTCTTTTAAAGGAAGCCTACTGTTTGATATCCTATGTTGTGCCACTATCATTACATTTGTCATCTTGTGATCTCTTCTGTCACAAGTCCTAAAATTTCATAGGTTGAAAAAAAGTGAGGCTTCGAGATAAGGAACACAAATAGCCTATGTAGAGTCCGCAATATATTTTTATCGTGAAGGTATTGGAATGACTGTGACATTCAACACATTCTCACATCAAATTACGAGATGAGAAAAATTTATAAGTAGAAGACATGAGTGAACGTTGTACCCTATTTCTTGCAAGTTCGACCGGGACTCCTGATTTTAAATCGTCACATATGATGTTCTTTTGATCAGTAGTGGGTCCGGGTTTGATGATAGTTTACCCTCTTGTACAGTGACGTGGATTTTTAAACTGTAGTATTCGTGCCTAAGGTTACTCTGGACATAGACGGAGTGTATAGTGTCACAATAGTTCATTGGTACATTCCAATGATTTTTGTTTGTTTTTTTTTTTGTTCTTTTTTTTTTGGCATTGTTCTAGATTTGCAGGTTCTGAAGATTACCTCCATCTATCAAATTCATTTTTCATACAGACGACTTTTTGTTTAAATCTGCTTGGAACAAAGGGTTTTTTATCATATCTTCGTAGATGTTTGTTTCTCCCAGTAAATAAAGGTTTAAATTCAAATAACTATTTATTTTATATATCGGCATAACAGGAACATATGAAAACTTCTCATAGTCTGAGAATCCCTTTTTGCTTCCGTTAGTATATGCTGATGCTAACTACCAGGAAAGTCACTCATTGCACCTGCTTAGATTAACGTTTCTTGATAGCATGAAGCGGAAATATTATATTGAATCAATTGCCAAGTCTGTTACTTGGGAATTAGCTTCACTATGCTAGACAATTTTGCTCGTCAAATATATATATTACATATTTATAAGTCTACCATTCGCCCATGCTTTGAATATTGCAGCCATGTCATGCTGCGTAGGTAGTGATCATAAATACAACAAAAAAGAATCTGCAATCTTTTTAGTCCTGATCTGGCATCTCGGCTTTAGTCACTTTCCCACCACCGTAACGTAGCTGTCCTGTAACTTTTCTATGAATATTATCATAGTAATTATTCGGATGACATTACCTTGTAAGTAACAAGACTTTATGTATTTTAGCTTACTGACAGCAAGATCTGATGATCGCACTGTTCAAATGGCTAGATGTAACCGTAAGTTCTGTGCTAATAGTTTCTTCTCTCGCACTTCTCATTTGTGGAGCTCTCTTCCGGCTTCTTACTTTCCAATCAACATTAATCCTCAAAAATTTAAATGTAATATTTATCGTTATCTTCTTTCTCCTTAATTCATATTATTTTATTGTTCTCTCTTCTTAATATTTTTTTCTTTATCTCATATTCTCTCACACTCAGTAACACGTTGCATTTGAGTGAATTAGTGTTTTCTTTGTGAAGCCGTGTATTTAAGATTCAGATTAGACGATGGCAAAGTATTCCTGTAATATCTGAAATGGAGCGGTTCAATCTTCACTTTCCGACCTTTGTAGATTTCAAAATCTTGAAAGGGAAAACATAATCAACCCAATCCAACCTACTGCTGTCCTATCACTATTTCCATAGCAAATTTTCAGATAAGCTCAATTCATTAGTTCCACCAGTTTAGTCTATATAATTATGATACCCCTTGCCATTTCCACGGAATTGAATCACCTTCATTTCATCTAGGCATCCAGTATGAGTAAAATGTTTCGT